CACCCTGGGACCCAGCGGTCGAGGGAGGCTCCTGGCTTGTGGGGAGGGCAGATGGGACACAGGTAAATGACCCTGTGGCTTCAGGTTACAAGACAACAGGAAGTTCTCTGAGGAGGAGAGCGTGGAGCCACGGGAAGAGTGTGGGTCAGGGGAGCCGACCTGGGTCTGGGCAGGGAAAGGGAGAGCTGGGGTGGGGGGAGAGGCTGGGGAGGAGACAGGGCGGAGGCGAGTGTGGATGGGTGGGTGGAGGGTGGAGCACTTGGGAAGCCGCAGCGGGCGGCTGAGTTTGGTTCTGGGCATTCGGAGGCGCTCAAGGCTCCTGGTCCCAGGGGCGATGTCCCGAGAGCCTAATGGGACCCTCCAGCCCATGGGTGAAGGATTGGGCTGGGGGCCCCAAGGGGAGGCGGCCAGGGTGCCCCGAGGGATGTGTGGGGTGTGAATCGGCCAAGGCGAGGGGAGGGCAGGGTGGTACCCGCTGGGCTCTTCATTGAGGCAGAGAGGGCGGGTCCTCGGGCCGCTGTCGTTCTGGGGGAACAAGGCTGTGGCCGTGCCCACTGAGGCAGGTGGGCAGGCAGGCAGCTTGTGCCCTGGCGCACACCCTTCCCAAATAACACCAGAGGCCATGGTACCTGGCCAGGGGAAAGGGGTGCTACAAGGCTTCGGGGCGTGCACGCCCACTTCCCTAGCATCAGGCAGTTGGGACCTGACCCTGGGGTCAGGGCCGGCCACCCATGGGGTCTTTCTCCCTGAAGAGCTGAGTGGGTTTGTCCGTGCACACGTGCATCCGTCCGTGTGCGCACGCACCTCCGGGTCTGTCCCTTCCTGCCCCACGTGAGCTTATGGTTGTGGCACCGGCGGGAGCTCCTCTCCGCTGGGTAGTCATAGTTCTCAGCCTGAGCCCACCTGGCCTCCCGGGCTGGGTGATTCCACTGTGGGGCTGACCTGGCCAGTGTAGGATAACAGCAGTGACCTGGCTTGTACCCACAAGATGCCAGGAGCTCCCCGCATCCCTTCCAGCCCCCGGTTGTGCCCACCAGAAATGACGCAGACGGTGTCCAGCGTCCCTGGGGACACGGCGCTGTGGTAGAGCCGCTGCTGTGGTGAGGCAGGTTCCCACAGCGAACTGGTGACGGGGCCCTGCACGTGAGGACGTGGAGGTGGGAGGCCTGGGCCTTAGCCGTGCGTGGGAGGGAGATGCTGGGGCTGCCCCCTGCCCCCTCGCTTTGCGGTTCCTTGCTCCTCGGCTGTGGGTGGTTTTCTTTTTTTTTTTTTTGGTACCAGGAATTGAACTCATGACCTTAGGCTTGCCAGGCCAGCGTTTATGCCACTGAGCTACATCCCCGGCTGTGGGTGATGTGCTTGTCCCAACCCGGCTCACCCTCCTCAATCCTTTTTGCGCCAGAGGCTAGGCCCACAGCAGGGCACTCTGTCAACCCTCTTGCTCTCGGACTGGGCAGGGGCTGCCCCACCTACACTTGGCCCGCTTGAGCCTCCTTCTCTCTCCAAAGTGGGGTGACCAAGCGCCTCATCTGGGTTCTGAGAATGCTTCGGCAGGTGTCCGGGGCCCTTCACACGCATGGCAGCTGGGCGGAACCCTGGGGAAGCACAGGTGGGCAGATGTGGCCGCGCGGTGTCCCCGAAGGTTGGCGTCACGGAAGCGTAGCAGCTCACTGGTGGCTGAGGCACGGCACCCTCCCCCGTGGCGGCGGGCCTTGGGGACCTGGTGGGCTGGCAGCAGTCTGGGCAGCGGGTGAGGCTGAGCTTTTGTGATGGGAGGGCAAGGGGCGCTCTTCTGCAGCGGGGTGTGCCAGCAGGTCTCGCTGTGGCTGGGTCGGACCCCAGCGCCTGGCGCCGGGCAGCCACAGGCCTTGGCTGGGCCCGCCGCGCTCCGTGCTGCACAGCCGGGCTGCGCTCTGCTGCCTGGGGCTGCCCCGCCTACATTTGGAGAAGTTTTGGGCTCAGCACTGAGAGCTTCCAGCTCTTCAAGGTGTTTTTGAGGTTCCAAGGGGGGTCCCGCCGAGGTGGGGGTGGTAAGGGTGCCAGGACAGCATGCTAGGCGCAGCGCTGAGGCAGTATCACCATGTCCACGTGCCCTTCCCTGGGGCCTCCGAAACCAGCTGGGTGCCCAGCCTCCCACAGGTACACAGGGCCGGAGAGGCTGGTGCGGGCAGGGTGGCCGGGGGCCTGGCCTGGCGCCTCTGCTCTCGCTCGCTCCTCTTCGGCCTCTCCCTGCCGTCCACTCTGCCGGCCCCTCTGGGCCAAGGTCTCTGCAGCCCTGCAGGTGTCCCTTCCTCTGACGTGTCCTTGCCCTCCTCCCACCGACACCCACCCGCACCATGGGGCTTCTGAGGTGGTGTGGTTTGCTGTGGTTCTTCAGGCTGGTGTGCGTCTGTGCTTCCCTCATTCTGAAGGCAAAGGCCGTCAAGGGCAAAGCCAGGTGCTCCGCTCAGGGCCGTGCCGGGGCAGGTGTGTGAGGTTTCCACAAGGTAGGACCTGAACCCAGGCCTGGCGCCGCTCCAACCCTGTGCCTCCTTGGAGGAGGGGGCTTGGGGCAGAGCATGGGCAGCGTGTGGGTTCCCAACAGAGGCCTCCTGGCCTCGACAGCTGCCACACAAGGTCCCTGTGTGGGATACAGGGGTGCTGCTTGCTGCCTGCTGCCTGCACTGTGTGTTGTCATGGCAGTAGTAAGGGTGATGCCCTGGTCAGGGGAGCCCTCAGACACGGGGCCAAGTGCGCCCCAAGGTGTTTGCAGCCCGGCCTTGGTGCCCTGTTCTGCCCACACTCTGTCTGCCTGGCAGGCCCCTCCCCGAGCTGGCTCAGGCTGATTCGTGTGTGTGTGTGTGTGTGTGTGTGTGTGTGTGTGTGTGGTGTCACAGTGGTAAACTGTGGTCCCTGCAGCCCGCCCTTGGAGCCAGTCCCATGTGGACGTTCAATACTTCACAGTCCCGCAGCGAGCGCAGCCTTCGGGTGCTCAGACATGCTCGTCCTCCCGGGAGGGAGCCAGTGCGCGGCTCTCCCCGTTCCCCTTTCTGTGGTTCCTGGCGGTCCCGTCCTCTCATCTCCATAGATTTGTCTGTTCCGGACATTGCATATAAATGGACTTGTAGGACAAGGTGTGCCCTTCGGGGTCTGGCTCCTGTCACTTAGTGAACCACTTCGGAGGCTCACCTGTGTTGGTAGCTCTCTCTCTCTCCCTTTTTACGGCCAGGTGAGAGTCCATCTGGTGGATAGACACGCCTTTCACCCATTCAAGAGTGGGTGGCAGATCGCTGTTCTCCTCCCTCTGCCTGTGACTGGTGTTTTAATTATGCACATTACCTTGGTTATTTTTTCTCATTGCTGGAGCAAAACACCCGACACCCAAAATTAAAGGATTTGGAAAGGTTTGTTTTTTTTTTTACATTGGATTTTATTGGCACATTTAGATACATGTAATGATCATCATATAGTCTGTACACGATATAAATTGTTTTTTTCCCATTCCTGTACCCTCCCTTCAAGCCCTCCTCCCCTCCACTTTAACAAAACTTCGTTTCCATGTTTTCCTTCTTTCCTCTTTTTTTTTTTTACTTTTTCCTTCTTTCCTTACCCCTTCCTGTCTTATTCCCCTCCCCATTTGAACATTTTCCTCCTATTTCAAATACATTTTGGTCCTTGTTTACACTAGGAAGGGTTTACAGTATCTTGGTTCACAGTTTGTAGAGGTTTCAGTCCTTTATTGGGTGGCTCTGAGGCAGGGTGGCGCGGGATACAGGCATTGCAGAGGAGAAACGGTTCATGGTGGGCAGAAGGCAGCAAAACCAGGGGGTGACCACGGCTCTTTCTAACCCTTATATCTCACCCAGGCTACTTAGGGCGGGCAGCACTCACACCCTTAATCCTAGTGCCCTTGAGCTAGCATGGCACCGTGAAGCAGTCACACACTCTAGATGCAGCCACCTCTGAAAAAGTACCCCCATGTCCAAATGAGGCTTTGGGGAACGTGGACACAGCCCTCACACACATGGGTCTGTTGTCCATGTGAAGATGCTTAGACTCTCTGGAACCGGCCCCCCATGGCTGTTTCTGTCTCCTTTGCAGTCATGGTGATGGGAAGATTCTTGGGGACCCGTGAAAGGGGCACTTCTGTGGGAGTCAGCCTCACCCCCCTTTGGGCTGTCAGTACACATTTGAATCCTTTTAGCATAAACAGCAGCTCTGTTTTGCATAATCAGCCCGTCAGTTCTGGTGCTTCTTTCCCAGGGGTGAGGTGAGTGGGGCAGGGACTTCTGGAGTAACACTGCCGGCCGTTCTGGAGGGGTGTTGGGTATGAGTACGGCTCTGTCCCCTGAGGCTGCTGCTCGGCTTTTCAGTTCCTGTGCAAGGAGGGGCCTGCTGGGCGCTTCCCTCCGGGGGTATGGGCTCCTCTTGGATCCAGAAGAGGTCTGGCCCAGGGGAGGGGGAACCCTGCGGTACGAGAATACTCTCCAGAGGGCTCTCCTGGACTCAGTCCCTGCCCGCTGGGGAGAGCGCGGGGAGTCTGGGCCTATCTTCCAGTGCAGTGACCCCAGGGATGCTTGCTGCTCCGTAGAGGTCCATGAGCCCCTTGTCCAGGGCAGCCGGCAGCTCCCAGCATCGCCCCCTTCCCTCCCGTGGGGGGCGGGGGGTGCCACGTGCACAGCGGTGAGGCCCTGGCTGGAGCCGGAAGCGCATGTGGGAGCGCCTGTCCGCAGGGCTGGGACTGCCCTGCTCCCTGCATCGCGAGCCGGGCTGTTGTTTCTAAAGGGGCATCGTGCTGGACTGGGGTGGAGCGAGCTGTGTGGGCCATTTCCAGCATGGGTGAGCACTGGCCACCGTGACCTCGGGGGAGGCCGTTCCCACCCCCGCTGTCACTGCCCCTTCGTCGGCCGTGTGTGCATTCCCCATGCACTCGCCCCACTTCCGCCGCCAGCCCGGCAGCCGCGCTAGTAGGGGGCGGGAGCTGAGCGCCTGCGCGCCCTGACTCTCTGCTTGGCCCACAGGCTGACTCCGCACTACATCTACCCGCAAGCCATCGTCCAGCCCAGCGTGGTGATCCCGGCTGCCCCGGTCCCGTCGCTGACCTCGCCCTACATTGAGTACACGCCGGCCAGTCCCGCCTATGCCCAGTACCCACCAGCCACCTACGAGCAGTACCCGTATGCCGCCTCGCCCGCCACGGCCACCAGCTTCGTGGGCTACGGCTACCCGGCCGCCCTGCCGCAGGCCCTTTCTGCTGCTGCCCCCGCGGGCACCACCTTCGTGCAGTACCAGGCGCCGCAGCTGCAGTCGGACAGGATGCAGTGAGGCCCGTCCTCCTGGGGACTGCGGGTGCCACCAGCGTTCGTGTCTCCTGAGGCCCCTTGGGCGCCACCTGAGCCCTGGGGTGGCTGAGAGGTGGCTTCTCTGCTCGTCCAGGTCTCACCGTGCCTTGCGGGAGGACTTGGAGAAGAGAGGTTGACCGAGAAGCTGTGTGAGGAGGCACCCGATCCCTCGCACCTGCCTGATTCCTACCGCCTCTCCTGCCCCGGCCACGTGCCAGGTGCCCACAGGCCTGAAACCACCAGGGCATCTTGCAGGGCTGTGCGACACCGTGCCGCCAGGTGCCTTCTCGGGAGAACCGGAAGAGAAGTGCAGTGACCTGTCGCAGGTGCCCTGCCTGCGCGCGCACCTTGGCCACCCTCCTCCTCGAAGGACCCTGCGCGGCTGCCCGAGCCCCTGCCCGCAAGGCGTCCTGCTGCAGGCAGCTGCCCCCTTCGGTCAAAACACTGCGACTTTCTTCCTGTTGTAATTGTTTTGCTACTAAGTGATTTCAGAATTCGAGTATATTTTTTCAGTGGAGACTGCTGCCACCCAGAATCCTAAACCTGTTTTTGACTGAGAGACTTGTTTTTGCTGATGGTTTCACGGCAAAGACAACAGCAGTATTTCCGTGTAATACCGTTTGCTGGCCGCCCCTCTGTGGGCGGGTGTCATCAGCTGCCCCGCGGGGGCCTCCTGGGCATCTGCTGAGAGTGCCAGCGAGGGTGAGCTCTCCGCTGTCTGTCGCTGTCCCTGGTGCAGCTTGCTGCCTCCGCCGGCAGCTCCCAGCCCTGGGGCCCTTGGGGAGGGTGGGAGTGCAGCACCCTGTGCCCCGCCCTCCCTGTACACCTGCGGGGGTGTGGGCCTGCCTGCCTCGGGGACGGGAGAAGTTCTGATGCTGGGAGTGGCTCCCTCGGGCGCTCGGGGCTGGGAGGGTCAGGGAGACCCCCATGGGAGGAGGGGGCGGTGTGGCAGCGGCAGGCTGGGCCCGGGTGTCCTCAGACCTACCTCAGGGAGCTGAGCTTGCAGGCGCTCTGGCACGCCTGGTATAAGTCAAGGCCCAGAAAACAAAGGTAGCTAATGTTATAATAATATTTTTATTAGACTATTCTGATTATAAAAATAAAACTTGTTTTCTTTGAAGAGAACATCAGTCTTCAGTTTCTCTCTTCAGCTTGGGGGCCAGCGGTCCTGACATCCGACCTGCTGGCTGCTGGGGTTAGCATAGGACAGCCTTGTCCATCCCTGCATCTCCATCCTGCTCTGGCCACACCCGAGCTCTCCCTCAGGCACAGCAGGCGGGGCCACCCCAGGAACTTGGTGCTTGCTGGCGCCTCTGTCACTGTTTTATAAGCTGACCGTCCTTCTGCCCTCCTCGTTCTCCTTGGTCCTTGTCCCATCTCCATGGGGCAGGGTCTCTCGAGTGTCCTGCTGCACTTCCACACCTAGTGCTGGCCAGACACAGCGGGAAACGGAGGCCCTTGGCTGCCCGAACTTACTCTGATCCCTGAGAGAGGGCAGGCCCTAGGCGGCGCTGGGGGCTTTAGGGCTGCCCGTTCCATTTAAAACTCCCTGGAGCCGGGAGAAGCTGGAGGGGGATGGGCGGGGGGGCTGGAGACCCGAGTTCCCCCAGCAGCCAGGTGGAGCTGGCCGGGAGACAGGTGCCCCCAGTGTCCGCGTAGGGAGGACCAGCGGGGCTCGAGGGCAGCTGCCAGCCCAGCCCCCGCCGCCTCCGGAAGGGGACACCTGCTTCTCCATCCCGCAGAGGAAGACCCCACACACACAGCCATAACACGTGGGGCCACCGATGCGCCAGCTGGGTGTGACCTCCAGGTGGTCAGCCCTTGGTATGGAGGCAGGGCCAGTCCCCCTGCCAGGGCAGTGCGCGACTTGGGGTGACCTGGCCTGGGGAGCCCCCTGGGAAGCCCCTCTGGCTTTTTCCAGCCTCCAGACTTGGAGATGTGCTCGGAGTTCCCTGCTGCGCTCAGAGGAGGGCCTGCCTGGGCTGGCTCCTCCCCTTCCTCCCGCCCCGCCCTCCCCCAGGCACCCTAGTTTGCAAACACTGGGATGAGGTCAGGAGGTCACAGGGCTCCCCAGACAGTGCTCTGCTGATAGCCCGGGGCCTGGGAGGAGGTGCGGGCCCTGCCAGGGTTATCGGCGAGGCCACACGCAGCCAGCACGTTTCCTGTCGCTATCAGCCAGTGACAGGCTCTGGGACAGGCCTTCAGGAAGACTGGAGGCCTGGAGAGCTACCCCAGGGCCCAGGGTGGAGGGGACTGGGAGGGTGAGCCCGGGACCCCTGGAGTTGCCCCTGCTGAGCTGAGAGTGGCTGAGCTGGGGTCAGGGGGCGTCATTAGTGAGAATGGGCAAGCTGCCCTGGGCCGAAGCCTCCTCTGGGTGGTCTCAGTTACCCAGAAGGCAGCCCAGGGTACAGCTGGGAAAACTGAGACCACAGGAGGCAGCGCCTGGGGCAGTGAAGGTGGGGTTCCCCCAGCACACCCCCACCCCTGAGGTGAACCCACCGGGCCGCGGCTTCCCTGAGCCTCCCCGCACTGTCTTCCTGGAAGCAGGGACTTCTGGCCTCCACTGTGTCCCTGTCAGCCCACAGACGCGCGCACGCAGAGGTGCCGGGGACGGATACAGGCACACCCCATGCCCTCTGTGCGCGGATGTGTGGACTTACACGTGTCTGTGGACACACGTGCGAAGCCACAGGCCGTGCTCAGGTGCCCAGGTACCCACAGATGCGTTCAGACATCCACAGAAACCGTGGCGTCTCCACATCTGCACCCCGGCTCGACGCACATGCCCACGCTTTGCGTCTGTGAAGCACACAGACACACGCATATGCGGAAGCAGTCACGGAGGCACACGCGAGCCCACCGCTGTGCGCACACGGGTGTGCACGAATACGCTGACACCTGGGGACACGGGTGCGTACTGTGCTGCCATCTGCTCCGCGGCACGCGGGCCACGTGGGGCTGCAGAGCGCCGTTCAGTGACCTGCGGAGGACAGCCGTGAGCCAGGCTCTGCCCGGCCCGGCCGGGTGGGCTGGGGCGCTTCCTGCTGGCCACGGTGGCGAGCAGCCCCACCAGTGCCCACGGGGGTAGGGACGAAGGCTCACATAGACACCTGAGGGCCGGTTGCCACCCTCCCTCCCTCCCTGGTCCCCTGCGCTGCCGCCAGGCTCTGCCTCCTGCAGGGTTTACGGGCTAGAGGTGGTGGGAGCCTGTGAGCACGTGTGGTCCCCACGTGTGTGGTCCCCACTTCAAGGAGGCCACGAGGTTCCGAGAGGGGGTCGTGGGGGTATGGCAGGGCCACCTCCAGCTGCAGCCCTCAGAGCCAGTTGGAGGATGCCCATGGGGAGGGGGCGGCCGCCCTGTCAACTGCGGCGGGGCGGGAGAGTGCAGGGTGCGGAAGGCCTGGGCCCACCCAACTGTGTGTGACCAGAGCCGCCTGCAGGGTGGGGCCCGAGGGGGGGGGGGCGAGGCAGCTGAACCGGGCTCCCCTTACTGACTGGTGTTGCACACTCTTCCCACTTTCCAGAGGGGCAAACTGAGGCCCAGAGAGGAAAAAGTGCTTCTCCAAGTCCACTGGCCGCTGCTCCCACCTAGGGCATAGTCACAGCCAGCTCCACAAGGGAGCCAGACAGTATGAAGCCTCCTCTGTGCTGCTGTCCGCAGCCCGCTCTGCCCTGTGCCATGGGCGTAGGGGGTTCCTTCCATCCCGACTGCCTCGGCGTCTTCCCCATGCAGCGCCCTAGGCTGACCCCGGGAGGCTCAGAGGCTCCGTGGGGACCCCACAGCTCAGCCACAGCACGGTTGGTGGCATGGGAGGGCTCTTGGGGCAGAGCCGGGGGAGCTGGGAGGAGCCTTGGTGGGAGGGGTTGTGCTTGTGAAGAGGCTTCCTGGAAGGAAGGATGAGCTGAGAGGCGGACTCGGGGTGTTGGGGATATTTCTGGGGCCCCTTGATCCAGCTATGCCTGAAGCTAGACCATAAAACATTCCCCCTTTCACTTAAACATAGTGGATTAGGGTTTTCTGCCACTTGCAACCATGGCTGTGGACACACACAGTGTCCAGTGATCTGCATTCCTTAAAATTAGGTTCTGCGCCATGCAGAAAATCCAAATTAACCGTGGTTCTTAGCAACCTTTTTTGTTATGTAACAGAATTGTGAAACGTGCGGACCAGAACTTGGTGGAGCACCGGAATTCAGGCTCTATCTTCCCATGTGTCATTTTAATGCATAGCTTCCTTCCTCAGGACCGTTTCATGGACCCTGATGGCTGCTGGAGCCCCGGACATCATGTCCAAGTTCCAGGCAATAGAAAGAGGGAGGAAGCCTAGAGTTCTTCAAGCTGAGGCTTTCAGAAGTTGATTATAAAATCCCTCTTCCATCTCAGGGGCCAGCATTATTATTTTGTGGCCATCCCTAACTGCAAGGCAGGGTGGGCATGCTGGGCATACAGCTACCTGGGGTACAGAAAGTGCCGTTATACAGATGCCCAGTTTTGCCCTCCAGACTTCTGGGATCTTAATACCCCATGGCCTGGGGCTCTTTGGGGATGGGGGTGGACCAGGCCTATGCTCTCTGCCTCCAGGCAACAGGGTCTGCAGGGTCCTTCCACCCTCTCACCCCTCAAAGAGCCAGGGCCAGGCCACTGTCCACCTTGGCCGAGCTCCTCCTGGCGGATCTGGGAGGACAGTTCAAGCTTCGTCAGCCCCACGGATCACAGCATCTCCTGGTCCTGCAGGAAGGAGGCCCGAAGCACTTGGCTACCTGGGGGTCCCGGGTGGGTGCTGGGTCCAGGGAGGCACCCCATGGTGTTCTTCCAAGAGCTGACTCAGCTTCCTCCCCAGACCCTCCCTGGGCATGGAGAAGTCTCGTGCTGCAGAGGGCACATGGCTCACGGGTGAGATGGTGCAGTACATGGTAAAAAGCAGCCATCTGGACTCTGGGCTTTGGTCTGTCTGCCTCTTATGCCCAAGTTGTTGCTTTCTGGCTGCGTGGGCTCCAGGAACCTGAGCTGGAACATCTTGGCCAGGGCTCAGTCCCCCAGTTCCTAAGCATGACTCTTTCAAGCACAAAGAATGCCTGCCTTGACCTGCCTACATGGATAGGGCTGGATGATCACACCACCTCTGGCTCTTCCACTTTGGAGTTGGCGTGTGATGGTGTGATGGCTGGAGCTGCAGCTGCCATATTGGTCCTGGGTGATTGACTGAGCCATGGTTGCTTCTGCTTTAAGTGGGCTAGGATGAAAAGAGATGGAGTAGGGGATTCTCCTAACCCCTGCTGCCAGTGGAAAAGCTGAGCTAGAGGCCAAGAGCAGAGGAGAAACCACCCTGATTCCTGTGAACCCCGCCACTGCCTTTTGGGTCTGACCAGCTGATGAAGAACCTGTATTTGCTATCAAGTGAGGCAGCTATTTGCCCCAGCATCTCATCGAGTTTTGGGTGTCCTCAATGTCCCTGAGCTCCTAAAACTTAACATTTATTGAATCCTTGCCATGGCTCTGCACCGATCACTTTCTGAGCCTTCTGGGATCCTGTGGGAAGCTGACTGTGCCCATTTCACAGATGGGAAAACCAAGCAAAGAAGATCCAGCCTTTCCCCCAGCCAGAGAGCTGGCAAGTAGCAAGACTTAGACCCAAGTGGCCTTTACCTGGGACCACACACTCTGCCTGGGGACAGGCTCTGGCCACCGCCCCCTTCTCCTGGCCTTGCTCACCCCAAAGTCAACTGGGCCACTCCTCCCCCTCCCTGTCCTGCTGCTGAGTCACACTCATGTTTGTCCCCCAAAAATGTAAACACCAGGTCCCGTTCGGGCAGCAGGCAGGGGCTACCCAACGCAGCTGCCAGCAGGCCTACAGCGGGGCGTCACACAGACACGGTGAGGCGCCTGGCCCCCAAATACCTTCTGGGGCCCCGATAAGGGCCCTGCTCTGCTTATCGGCCGAGGTCTGGCCTCTGGAGCACCGCAAGCAAGTGTAGGGAGAGCAGGGACCGTCCCTCCCCGCCCACACAGCCGAGAAGCCTTCGCCTCTGTCCCCGGAGCCTCCTGCTGGCCTCCTGCCCCAGCACTGCCCACTGAAGGTGGAGGAATTTAAGAGAAAGGTCTTGGGGCCAGGGATCTAGCTCAGT